GTAATACTCTTTTTTGCAGTTATCTGACATCGAAGACTATAAAATCACATACAATATTTTTTGATAGTCTGAAGAGCTTTTATTATAATTTGATAATATGAGTACATTATATCAAGTGATCACTGTAATCCAAAATTGACTTGTCAACTTAGCTAGAAACTTAATAGTCATTTTAGGTTGCTTTTTTGTAAATTCTTTTGCATAGATAATCAAGTTAATCAAGTTGCATAGTTATTTCTTTGGAAAATATGTTACTTTAATTGAAGGGTTACTTTTTTGTTTTATTTTCAGAAATTTACTTTATAAAGGAGATAATAAAGTAGTATTGATCACAGTTTTTTCTCTATCTTTTATTAATATTAGTATTTATTTTACACAGATAGAGTAGATCTAGTAAAAGGGTTGATAATACCAGATTATCTCAAATGACTTTTAATGTAATTACAGTAATAGTTAATCTTTTAATGTATAATTTTTTGATTTACTTAATAGTATTTTGTATAAATTCTAATAAAGATCTATATACTGTATCATTAAACTTAAAAAAAATAATATAAATTATGTTACAGTATTCTTTTTATAAACTTATATATTAAAAAATATTAAAAAAAATTTTTATGTTATTTATATTTTTGTAATTAATTAAGTTTTCTGTAATTATGACTTTATAATTAATTACTATCTCGTAATTAATTATGTCTGCCATAATTAATTATCATTTCTGTAAAAATTATATCTTTTGTAATTAATTACCACTTCTATAATTAATTTTGCAATTATATTTTTTTTAAAAAAAATGGTAATTAATTACTATAATTATGTATTATGTATTACATATAGTCCTCAGTGAAAAGAATAGTAGAAATGAATTTTGTAATATGTACAATTGTTATTTTATATAGTTTTTTAATTTATTTGAAAGATAAATACTAACGGTAACTTTTGTATTATTTAATTAATATTTGGTGTATTTTTCTTCTGCATTGATATGTGCTTTAACCCAGTTTAGTATGCTCTTAATGCATTGAAGTAATATAGTATCATTAAGATCATTCCATTCCTGTTAGGTTGTATTAAAAAATACATCGCAAGTGATATTTTTTTTTGCTTCTAAATATTTGATCTTATTCTTTACTTTTTCCTTTAATATATTCCATACATTTTCAATAAGATTCAAGTCTGAGCTGTAAAAAGGTCAAGAAAGAACTTGTTCTGGAAGATGTTTTTTAAGTCATCTTAAATATCTCGTGAGATATATTTTGAGTCATTATCTTATTAGAAGACCTAGCTGCGACTGCATATCATATTCACATTATTAAGCTTAAACTATTCATCATTAAGTTAATAAAAATTATTTGCTAGCAGGAAGTTTAAGTATGTCTAAACTATGGAATAAATAAACATGAATAATTGAATTAAAGGGTTAGGTTATCTTTATTGATATAGATTTAAAGAAGAATAAATTATTAACGAGCAAAGATAAGTTTTAAAGAAAAATAGTATTGATTTTATTAGAGATTATAGTGACTCTGCTCTTTTATCAAGGCAAAAATACAAGATATTTATATAAAATACATCAATATAAAAAAGATATTTAAGAAAATAAAGAAATATAAGAAATATAAGAAATATAATAAAATAATGAAAATACATATATTAAAGAAATGTGTGAAATTAAAAAATTGTATGAGAGATTTATAAAAATGTTTAGCAAATTAATTAAACATTTTATTTGATAATTTAATTTTGAATCAATAAGCCAAGTTTTAAAAAGATGCTAATTATTAAAATAAGATTTAGGTGGATTTTTATGATTTTTTAATTTTTAAAATTTCAATTATAATATTGTTTGACTATTTGCAATTTATAATCCTAATAAGATTGAGGAGTAATTAATATTAGTTATAATAAATCCTAGTATATCATAATAAAAATCTTCAATAATGTAAGCATTTCATTTATATTATGTAATTCATCATAATTCTGAGAAGAAAGTTAAAAAGATTATGTAAACATTTTTGATCTTATATTTGTATAAAAAATGCCAAAATTCTTGTTGTTTTAATTACATTGTTTCCATTTTTCGCTGTCATTTCTGACATATCTGTTGGAATTGACTTTGCAGATGTTTATGAAAGTTCAGACTCCGCGGGATGATAAAAATATATGTCAAAGTGATCATTTGATATCAAGAAATCAATTAGTAAGCATTTCCATCATCCAAGCCACAAGTCTATTGATATTTACAAAGAATTCTGTAACAAAACTATAGAAAGGAAATTGATTACAAAAAGGATGATCTTTGCCTTGTATTTTTAGTAGGATTGAATTAAATAGTTCTAATATCTTAAAGGCTATTACAGAGTGCCAGCAGAGGAAGTAAAAGATGATTTTATTTTACTTATTTATAATTCATTTAATAAACTTATTATTTTTCATCCTTTATAAAATTATTTTATTTATTTCTTTTAATAAACAAATAAACTATACTAATTACCACTTTACGAAATTAAGAGGTGACAGTACCATCCCACATATATGTATCGTTAAGATAAAGTCCAAAACGGGCAAATATTTTTATTAACTCATAATTAAATGATTTGATTGTGAGTTGTACATACACTACCCTCGGAAAAGTATCTGGCCAAGCTTTTTAGATAGGATATATTAATTAATCAAAAAATATTTTTAAATAAACCCCCTGATTTGATCATGATTATATGTTTATATTTGTGAACAATACATAGATCAGTTTTAATGATTAAAGATGTTGTCATTCGGTCCGGTATGGAAAAAATCAGGAATTAAATTAGTGTGAACGCGGATAAATAATTGGTTTACAAATGGATGGAAGAACCTCATACGGTCTTAACCAAATTGAGCATTTATGGAATAAACTTAAAAGAAAGCGCTGCAAATGTGCTGTATATCTGAAAATCTACAGGAACTGAAGTTTTACAAGAATGAAGAAAATATCCCTCTGAAACTTTTATTAACTAATAAAAAGCATGTCACATAGAATCGAAGCATGCATTAAGAACCAAGGATGGCCAATAAAATATAATTTATTAATTTATTTTAAAAAGATTTATTTAAAATTTTAAATAAATAATTTATTTTTAATTGTTTTTTTTCAGTTGACTGGATACCTTGTCAAGGGTTGTGTAGCATTATCCAATTTTATCAATACCATTGGTGTTTCGGGCGAAACCATTTTCTCAAGTCCAAAACCTTAATTTGGAAACATTTTGATGATCAAATTGGGCGAAACCAATTTGCCAGAAATATTTTCATATCTATCAATCGCCTAAGCTTTCATATGCGGAAACAGATCAATCAGTCGTGAGAACCATATCTCAAGATAGCCTTTTCAACGGGTGTTGGTTTTTTTCTCTTGCTTATATGTTTCCGAATATTCAGATACATTCGTCATAAAGATATCTTCAACAGTTTTGCCTGAAGGCAGGTTCCATTTCTGCGAGTTCTAGAGTAGGATTTAAAAACTTCATATCATCTTCATCGTCGATCGTCGTCATCTTCTCCGCTAATGATAGTTCGCCATCATCACTTCCATTGTGAATCTGATTTTGCGAAGTTAGTACGGTGTGTTCTTAAGCTGCACAAAAATTTAAGTGCATACGTTTAAATTGGGCTCTTTTTCAGCGCATAACCGATGACCTCTCCTTTTTAACCGCAGCGATATCCCCTTCATCGCGATAAGAGGTGTGATTGAACGCCACTTCCTTTCATTCTTGGAATTTGAATAGAATTTTTAATCAGTATTTGTGAGAAATAGGTGCAGAAGCAAGAGACATATAAATAGACATACCAATTTATTATTAGAGACCGAACTTTCATCTGAATTTAGTGCGTTGTCCAACTTCTTTGAAGGCAGTTTTAATCAAATTATTTGTTATATTCGAGCAGTATTTATCTAATCATGATATGGAATTAGTGTAGGTCTGAATTGGAATAGAACTCAAAGAAATGGTAATGTAATGAACCTTATCTGGCTGTAAGCTTGAATTGGCGGAAGACGATTCTAAATAATTCCAAAATATCTACAGGATATTTTTCACGTTGGTTCTTAAGTAGTATGTTAAGATCAGTAGGAGTAATTATAATGTTAGAACGGTAATAAAAATGAAAAAATGGTTATAGCTGAGGATACACAATACATTAATTAATCATCAATATCAAAGCTCTTTAAAAAGAATGACCTTAATAATGTATAAATAAAAGAGAAATCTTTATACATAGTTCAAAAAACAATTAAATTGCGCAATTTTATTTTAGAATCTGACTTAACCTTCTAGTCAGTAGGAAATAAACTCATTCATCGTTAAATTTCTGTCATTAGATTACTTTACATTATGCTAATATTAAAATAAAAATAATTATTATTTTTTTTATTGGAGTAGAAAAAATTTAATTATCATAAATTTAAATTAATAAATGTATTGTATTTTAGACTGAATATATTTTAAATTTAACGTTAAGGAATTCAAGAAAAATGACAATCTGAGTGAAATTTCAAAAATCCATGTCTCTAGATAAAATATAGGAAAAATCCTGCTTAATTTCATAAAGTTAAATTAAAGACGGGATAGTCAGATATAATGTTTTTATTAATTCAAAATTACGATATAGGAGCACTTGGGCATTATGTGGAGCAATAACAATGTAAAATTTATAACTTGACTTATTTTTACTAGATTACAACATTTAAGAAATTGCATACAATGTGGTTCTTGTTGACACTGAATCACACTGTGATCTTCCCTTGGTAATTACATTTTAGAACGCGGATTCCTCATCTTTATAAAAATTATTTAAGACGAACTATTAGAATTCATTAACATATCAAATTATTAAACTTTGTTTTATTTTATAGGTTTCATAAGTACGGCAGAAATAAGATAATAATAAAGATTACAATTCAGTCCTTTTTAAGGATTCGAATTTGAAATTATTAAGTTATACTATAAAAATGAATTAAATTAATACGGACATGGATATACATCCCAAAAATCTTGAGTACCATGAAAGTGCCAACATTTATCCCCATCATTATTGAAAGGGCCGCGCCATTTATCTTGTCTAAGAGAAAGGAAAACCCAGAAAACAAGATAATATGATTTTATTTCATTAGGGATATCCAAACTATATCCTTGATGAGCAATTCCACTTTCTGAGTTGATGTCGGGGGCGTCTGTCCAATTCCAGGCATCTTTTTCGTAAGTAAGGGTGGCTGCAGCCAAAGTAGTAGTGCCACGCAATGCCTTGTTCTGGATCCATACGGTATAACCTGATATTTATTCCATCCAATATGAATATGGTTATTAAATATTTATAAATTTAGTCTTAATAATTCCAATTTACCTTCAATGAGTGTTAGCGTTATTGATGTTACTAAGCCAAAGATAATTGCAATGATTATTGAAGATTTCATGACGAATAAATTTATATAAATAGAGAAGAAAGTATGTTTTGATGAAGTTTAATTATCGTTTGTTTAAATATTAAAAATTTATGCTTTCACATGCTGTTTTTCAATATTAGATATTTATTTTCAATATTAGATATTTAATAATTATCCGTCGATGAAACAGATAACATGATATACTAAAAATGATATTAAAAATCGATAATTATTTGTGATACATTTTAATTTGTCCCTCTAGCTTTAAGAGGAATTTCGAAAATTCATTTTTACATATTAAATTAAAACTACTTCAAACACGGTTTTTTCTGATTTTTTGTAATTCGGTGAATTTTTCCGTGCCATGTGCCTGTGAATCGAAAAAATTTCAATTAATCTTCGATCCCAAGATTCGATCTTCGGTTGTGAACGATCATTACAGGATTTCAGAAAGAAAAAATATTTTATCAAAAAATATTGCATTATCATAAATTTTAAAATTATACCATATTCTTCAAAAGTAGACAATTCTGATGGAATTCATCATTACTAGTGAATTTCACGATCTTCACCTTTTCATGGTTCAAAATAAAAAGTTAATATTATCCAAAATGATTCTAGTATCGGTTCGAAGTAAACGCACATTTGGTAATATGATTAAAGGAACAGCTTAATTAATAATAGTAATATAAATCATTTATTGTGATATTAAATACACAGTAGGATTTTTAAGGAATTAATAAAAAAAAACAACATATTAGTTCAAATATTTGAGCACGATGTCGTACGAAGAGTTTTACAAGTTTATGATAGAAAAATAATTGTAGATTTAATAGATGCAAACAGTAAAGCGTTTATAAGCAAGCATTATAATAAAAAATATTATTATATTTTTTGTTTTTCATTGCTTTTCTGCTTTAACATCAAATTCGCGTGTTCGCTTCAAAAAGTATATCTACAACAATTAAAAAGAAAATAAATGGTATTCAAAATTACATAATTGAGTAGAATTTACGGAAATCATTGAATGAATTGAATGACCCTGAAATCATGATCCTTAACTGAAATTGAAGTTGGAAATCAGTACCCTGAAATTATGATCCGAAGATCAATTAACTGAAATTGTTTCAGACATGAACTTATTGTTAAAAAGCTATTATTTTCGGGGCATTGTGTTTCCTTGCAGATCGACGGTTCAGGCATAAAAGTGGATGGATTTCGCTTAATATAAAGAACATAACATATTCCTAAGTAATCATAATATAGCATTTATTCCTTTCGCATTCATTTATGATAACGGAACTTTAATAAAATACATATTTGATCGTATAGATCGCTGACGATTGAGATAATACCTTATTCACGTAGTTTTATTTGTATTTCGTTATTATTAATTGAATCCAATTATAAACAGAATCCTTCTGCTTACTTTCATTTTTTAACCTAAAAAACAAACTTTAGATTCAGTCACGTGGCGTCTGAAATGAAAATATCTTGAATTTCAGCATTTAATCACGAGACCATCCTAAATAAATCTATTTATTTCTATTGGAACCATAAAATATAAAATATAAATTATAAATGTGAATAATTAAACAAAAAGTAATAACCAAATTTATTTATTATTTATTTGCTTAATCTAATTCGTCTTTCTTTCCTTAGGCTCATCAGAATGGATAAATAAATAAATAAATAGAAATCTTTATATATAGATCAATAACAATCAAATTTTGTGCTATTTTTTATTTCAGTAACTGTTTTAACCTTCCAGACTTACATAATATATTAATTAATATTCAATAAGCAATGAACGCATCATGTATAATTAGATTAATTACGAACATTCTACCAAACACTTTATTTAAAGCTCTTACAGATTTATTTTTGGAGAACTAAAATGAATAGAGAATTATGATGTATTAATGAATAATTACCCCTGCAAAATGAAATTTCTTGGTTTGGTATGAAGCGCCGTACCGTTTACGTCCGGGATTTTATTTTTTTGTATTTAATCCCTCATAAAACAAAAATCCGGAAACGCATCGTAGTACAAATTCTAAATTCGAACTGGTTCCCGACAAATTTTATCTTTTGGTCAGCTAGTCAATATTAAAATATTTATAAGAAAATACTAAATTTATTTTTTCATTGAAGTTTCATAAATTTATTATCCTATTTTTAAATAATAGGTTAGGCTATAAAATGAAATAAAAAGTTTCAAGTGATCTTTTTGCCGCTCTACGGACATTCATATACGATCCAATTATTTTCATCACCATGAAAGTGCCAACATTTATCCCACTCATTATTGAAAGGGCCGCGCCATTTATCATGTTCATAAGATAAGGCAACTCCGAATATGAAGGTATATTATCAGGGATATTCAAATGATAACTACGGTGAGCAATTGCAAATTGGTCGTCGATTGCTAAGTAGCGAGGTCAATTCCAAGTTGCTGAAAGGTTATTAATGGTGGCTGCAGTCATAGTCAAGGTACCGGTCTCTGCCTTGTTCTGTATCCACTAAATGACCTGTATATTTACAGTATAAAGATGTTATTCGTATATTTAAATATTAAATCATAATTATTCAATTTACCTTCAATAAGGAGTGCCATTGTTGTTACTAGATCAAAGATTTCATGACGTTTTCAACGAAGATCTCGTACATATGATACTATGATATTATAAAGTTGAATGATTTTTTTGTGATACATTTATTTATACTTCTAGATTGGAGAATGTTAAAAATAATTATTTTAACTTAATATAACACACATGATCAAAATTTTGGGTGTTACAAAAAAAAAAAAAAAAGAAAAAAAAGCATTGAAAAGATCTGCGCTATCTGCACATGAAAATTTGGTGTTTTTGAAATCGCATGTAGACGATCAAAAAAATTTTATTTACAGAAAAATAATTGATTTTCAAAATGAATTATTATTTTTCAAAATAAATTGGTCATTTGCTATTTAAAATCAGGTTATGAGACATAAAACTGAAATTAAAGCTATACTATTAAATTAGATGCACGTCTTATAATATGAGCAATAATGTAAAAGTATTTACTATAAAATTCAGGGATATATTACACACAGCTTAAAAAAATTTTTTCTCGGTAAATTTCAAGATATTCTCAACTGACTCGTAATTTTGAAATAAACGAACGCCTTTTATATATAACTTTTGTCTATAACGAGGTTAAGAGATTATTCAAATAAAAAATTGGAATATTTATACTTTAGAATCAAATCATTAAATGGAGGTTGTTAGAAAACTTTATTCGGAATTTGAATTTAATTAAAATTAGTTGTATGTATTGCCATTACATTAATACATCACAATTTAGTAAATCATATGATCAATAAAAATCAAAATCGGCATTTTCAAGTACAACTAAAACATAATTACGCAATTATCAAAGTGACACGAATGGCGAAGTGAATCCAATCATGACTTTAATTTTTAATGAAATTATAAAGAGAAAGAGAAGCATTTTATTACCAATTAATTATTCAATCATGGCTTTTCAGTTAAATTTGGTTTATGAGAGAAGCCAAAACATTTATTACTTTATTCAGAAACAGGTATATAATTGTAAGAATAGTTACTTCCTCAAGCGAATCACTCATAATCGTTCGTAGCTATCAAACAACTAAAGATGATTACAAAGAAATTTATATTTTAAAAACATAAAATAACATCCGAACTGTCGGTGATATTCTAACCCCCCATCAAATATCTGCAGTCGCACATGATCATGCTTATAATAATAAACTATTATAAAATGTCAAAAATATCAATAATAATTATATAGTTTATTTATAGCTTAATATAAAAATATCAGCATGTTTAAAAAACCATGACCTAAGAAAATTTGAACACATACAAAAAATAATTTTTTTTATCCAATTAATATAAAATATTTTATTTAAAGAATCACAAACTTGCGAAAAAGTCATTTTCATCAAAATTTAAAATTACCGCAGTATCAGAATTGCACTTAACATACTGAGGTAACTATTACCTGTTATTTTTAATCTGGTTGAAAATAAACTGTCAATGGAGAGTGGATATATCAGTGTTCGTAAATTTTTAAATAAAAAAAAATTATAATTTATTTAATAAAAATGTCTGATAATAATTATAAAGATAAAGAGTGTTAAAAAAAATATAATATCTAAAAATATTTTCACCGAACAAAAAAAAGGAATAAAATATGAAGCTTAGTATTATAAGGGTTGGATGATATTCTAAAAAAAAAATTCCAATAATTCAAGAAAGTTTTTACGAGCTATACTACTATGATTCATTAATTTTTGTTTAAAAACTGGAAATAAAAAGATTCGATTTTCGATCAATCCCATGCGACTGAATACGATGTTGTATAGTATAGTTGATGAAAATTTATACGTATAGTTGCGAAAAAACTATACTCTGAGTTTAGAAATTTTTAATATCACACCGTCTATACTGTTATACTTTATAAATTCAGGACATTAAACTACTCGATATCTAATAAAAATTTTTAATAAAATTTTCCTAACTGCATTTATTATTTATTTATGCATTTTTTAAATAAAAAAATTTAATATTAAAAAAAATTGATAAATTATCAATGTTTAAATAAATATCATCCTGAAAATCCAAAAAATCTGCTTGAACCATTAGTTAATAAAATTATTAAAAATAGAATTGCAACGCAAAAGAATCCAAAAATTTTTTAATAAAAAATGTGGCAGTGCTTCTTTATTAACGTGTTTTTTAATGATCTTCCAGTAACAGCTAGGTCCGGAGCGTTTTCAATGATCCTTGAAAAACCAAGGGAAAGATTTATTTTCACGCCCGGTCGTACTCATAACCGCAGCTCAATACGATAATCCGTAACCTACGCGTGTATTAAATTAATTACATGAAGTATATATATGTATATATATTTTTTTAATTAAAAATGACGCATTAATATATTTTTTATAAAATATATAATTAACAACAAATCTCTAAAAATATTTGTCACCTTTCAATCGAAAATCGTTTGCCAAATTTTCTTATAAATTTTAATTAATTAGATCGCCTAGATGAAGTATGTTATGTAGTAATATCAAGTGCAAATTAAAAATTAATCTTCTACATTTGTTGTTTGTAATTAACGTTAATTTGATTCAAATAAATCACTTTATAAATATTATAATCATTAATACATTATTTTAATTTGCATATTATGATATAATAATATATAAATTCTCTTACAAAATAGTAAAATTCAGAAGAATAAATGAGAATAAAGCACAAAATTAATGTATAAGTGATTATTTATTTATAGTATTATGAAAATCTATTAATAAATTACTATCCAATAATGATTTACTGTACATCCGAATTCATTTAAATACTGACTTAAAAAAGGTTTTTCCGTTTATTTGATATTTTTACATAAATGTGTAATACCAGTAAAGGGCATTTTCTAAATTTCTTTCTGAACCTTCACCAATTGCAAATAAAAATGCAAGATTCATTTGTGCTATAAGATTTCCATTTTCAGCAGACTTGTTATACCAATAAAAAGCCATATCTAAATTCTTTTCTGTTCCTTTACCATATTGATATAAAATTGCAAGATTATTTTGTGCATATAGTTGTTCATTTTTAGCTGCTTTTTGATACCAATAAAAGGCTATTTCTAAATCCTTGTCTGTTCCTTCAACATTTTGATATAATAATGCAATATTATTTTGTGCATTTGCATTATTATTTTCAGCTGCTTTATAATGCCAATAAAAGGCCATTTCTAAATCCTTATCTGTTCCTTCACCATTTTTATATAATAATGCAAGATTATTTTGTGCATTTGCATTATTATTTTTAGCAGCTTTTTGATACCAATAAAATGCCTTTTCTAAATTCTTTTCTGTCCCTTCACCATTTTCATATAATAATGCAAGATTATATTGTGCATTAACATTATTATTTTCACCTGCTTTTTGATACCAATATATAACTTTTTCTAAATTTTTTTCTGTCCCTTCACCATATTTATATAATAGTGCAAGACTATTTTGTGCATTTGCATTATTATTTTCAGCAGCTTTTTGATACCAATAAAATGCCTTTTCTAGATCTTTTTTTATTCCTTCGCCATTATGATATATTTGCGCAAGATTATTTTGTGCATTTACATTATTATTTTCAGCAGCTTTTTGGCACCAATAAAAGGCCTTTTCTAAATCCTTTTCTATTTCTTCACCATTAAAATATAATTGCGCAAGATTATATTGTGCACTTGCATTATTATTTTCAGCAGCTTTTTGATACCAATAAACGGCCTTTTCTAGATCCATTTCTGTACCTTCTCCTTTATGATACAAATAGCCAAGACTAAATATTGCATCTTCATTATTATTTTCTACAGCTTTGTGATACCAATAAAACGTCTTTTCTAAATTTTTTTCTGTACCTTTTCCCTCATAATATAAACTACCAAGATAATATTGTGCATCAGCATTATTATGTCCTGCTATTTTTTGAAAATAATTAAAAGCTTTTTTATAATTCTTTTTTGTATTAATTTCATAATAATTATTAAAATTAATTGCAAAGTAATATTTTATTTTATTTACTCTATTTTCTCTTATATTTATCATTAAATCATTCTTTTTCAAAATATCCTTTGCAATAATATTTCCATTTTCTGATGCTTTATTATACCAATATAAAGCTTTATTTTTATCTATTTCTGTTCCGATTCCATTAAAAAAACAATACCCAAGTTGATATTGAGCATCAGAACTTCTTTCCTCTGCCAATTTTTCATAAAATTTAAATGCTTTATTATCATCTTTTTCGACTCCTTTTCCTAGTCTAAAGCAATCCGCTAAATTACGTTTTGCAATAATATTTCCATTACTGGCTGCTGTGTAATACCAATAAACGGCTTTCTTTTTATTTTGCTGGATTCCGATGCCATATTCATAGCAATGACCTAAATAATATTGTCCTACGATACTTCCATTTTCTACAGACTTCTTATACCAATCAGATGACAATTTTTTATCACACTCTATTCCATATCCATTATAATAACATTTGGCAAGATAAACCTGCGAAATTGAATAATTTTTTTCGGCTGCTTTTAAAAATAATTCTACTACTTTAATATTATTTTCTTTTATAGCAATATTATAATAATAAAGTAATCCGAGAAGCCATGTATATTTTATATTTTGCTGCTTTTTTAGCCAATCTAAAAGATTTTCTATTGGATTTAATCGTGATATCTTTTGCTTAATGAAGTGTTTAATTTGATCAAAAGTAATACCTTTATTATGTTTTCTAATTATAAACTCAATTAATCTATCGATAGTTATATGATTTATAAATATTGAGTCAACTGAATCTCTTGAAAAGTTTTCAACTTGAAAAATCGAATTTAATAATTTATCCTTGAAATCCGATATATCTGATTGAAAAGATTCTTGACTTTGTAAGCTTGAATTGCTTTGGTTAACTTTATTATAGAAGTTAATATCTTCGGATAATTCTAAGTTCTCTAAATCTTCATCTATTGATTTAATACTAGATTTATCTTCTATTGTCAAATTAATTAATGAATTCTTTACGATATCGTCAGTTAATTCTAAATCTTCATCTCTTGATTTAAGGTTAGATTTACCATTCATCGGTAAATCAATTTCGTTTTCAATAAGATTGGTATTTATCATATCACTGTTTTCAAGAGAAATGATTGCCTTAAGTGTTGAAATAACTTTTTGTATGTTTGGACGATCATCGGCTTCATATTTCCAACATACTAATTGAATGAATAGATAAAGATTAGAATTCTTTTTTTTAAAAATATATTTATTATATAGATAATTAATTACCTTGATATAAATTACTATATTCAGGTGGTGTTCCATCAACAATTCTTTCTCTTTTTCCATTTAATATAAGCAGCATTAAATCTGCATCGTAATCAATACCTTTAAATGGTTGATATCCGCTTGAAATTTGCCACATCAAAACTCCAATACTATAGACATCGGATTTTTTATTTAGTATGTAATCCTTATTTTTATCTAAACTTTTTGGATCCACGTAAGGTAATACACCAAATAATTTAGATGATTCTTCAGCAATTTTTTTTGATAAACCAAAATCAGCTAATTTAATTATTTTCTGATGTACAAGTACATTCCCTGCATGCTAAAATTTTATTAATTAATAAATTATTATTATAAATAAATAAATAAATAAAAGAATTGATAAATAAAAAAAATTTAATGTTTACCAGGTCACAGTGAACAATTTCACAATCATGTATAAATTCTATAGCACTTGCTAATTGTAAAGATAACTGATACTTGTCATACCATTCAAGTTCACTAAAATTGTTATTTAGATATCGATTTAATGTACCGCTGTCGGCATATTCCAAAACTAAAGAATATTTGTTTATTTGATGAATTGCGTTCGCTATTTATAAAAATATAGAATAATTAATTAAATATTTTTGAAATATTCTGAAACTAGGGTACGTTATTCCTAATTTTTACCAGTTTCTTCCCTTGTGATACCACAAAATCGCAGAATATTTGGATGAAAATCAACCCTTTTATGTAATTTTATCTAAAAAAGAATTTGAATTTTAACAATGTATTGAATAAATCTTTTAAATAATTTCATATGTAACCTACCTCATTTACAACTTCTTTCAGAGTGATTGTATCATTATTAAAAGATTTCAAAGCAAAATAACGAGTGGGATTTTTCCAATTAGCACGAACAACTTTTCCAAATGAACCATTTCCTATTGGTTGTAAATCGAAAAATTCCGAATATTCATAATAACTGAGATATTCATCAGAAATCGATTTTTCTAACCAACCAATATCAAAATTAGATATTTCAATGTTAGATGACATTGATTTTTTTTTATTTTTTTTTTCACTGCGTCTTTTAAAAGAGGAGAATTTATCCAAGTTTGCTAAATTTGTGTACAAAACTGTATTTAGTCAAGTGGACCAATAAAAAATTTTTGATCATGGATCTCCTCCGATCATATATTATTGGTTCTTTCTTTCTTCATTAATGTGCACAGCATAAAGCTAATTAATTAATATCATATCATGTAAAAATAATGTCACAAGTAAATTTTCTATTCTTTATAAACAAACAATTTCTAGTCTATAAAAAAAGGAGAGATTTGTAATATTTATTACTGCGCCACGATTTCTTAATTTTCTTTTCTAGAAATTAATTTTCTCTCGGATTATTAATTGTATTTTATGTATCTTGGACAATAAATCAAGACAAGAATTAAGCATTCTTTGGTTATTTGATATTCGCCGTGGTCACCAGCATGTGTATTATTGACGCAGTGTTATTGACATCACATGTCACAAAATCTGGCGCAGTATCGTCGTCAATAATCATACTCGGACTTATTAAACGCGTCATATAAAAGTTTATTCAGATATAAGACACGTTCCGTTCTAAAAGCTTGATAAAAGGTTTGTTTTTAAATCTTATATAAGCATTTTCAGAAAATTATATTTTCTTTATTTTATTCTCCTCTGCTTCCCTCCAAGTATACTACGTTCCATTTAGTAATGTATCAATATATAACATACGCAGTGCATTTCTCCAATTTTGAGTAGAAAATAGTGTTACAAGTGATTTTCATATTAAATTTCACGCCTTTTTTACTTCGTAGATATGCAAGCTGTGTAACTTTATTATACTTTTTTATGATTTTTTTATACGATTGTTCGACTATTAATTTATCATCTTAAAAACTCAAACGCTCCCATAACTTTTAGTGGATCTTACTTGAAAACAGGCAATTTTGCTTTTAAACTTATAAATCTTTCACAATATTTTTTTTGTATTAAAAATAAATATAAAACCTTTTTTTTTAAAAAAATAAAGTATTATTGAACAAATAATGTCCTTGAATAAATTTCAACTTTATATTAACAAATTAAAAGTTTGTCACTTGTTAAAAGAAAAATATGATAAAGCTTACAATTTAAATTAAAATTTGAAAGGTTTTAATAAAAACTCTTGAAAGATTCTTGAAAGGTATATCTATTTAAATAATTTTTGGATTTTTTTTACTTGGATTTTTGGAACTCCAATAATTTTTTTTTTTACTTAGATGGTATAGTAGAAAATATTTTAATTAGATTTCTTTTTAGATTTTTTTTAATATAAGAAATAATCAACTCTAATAATATTGAACTTATATAAATAAAGTAGATTCTAATTAATAATCATACTTTTGTGTTTTATATTACTACTGAACCATTCTTTTTTTAATTACTTCTTTTTCAATCAAAATGCCTATTATTCATCTAATTATAAAACATTAAAATTCCATTATTTAATGAAAATACTTATTCATGTAGATAAACATGTAACAATTGAAAAATTTATTACATTTGCCATTTATAATTTAAACTGAAGTTGTGGGATTATGATTTGAAATATATTTCAGAAAAACAAAATTTAGTAAAAAGAAAAGGTAGTTAGTAAAAATACAAATAAAAAAAGCATAGTAAAATATTATTTGATCTAAATAGTCAAATTCAACAAAGAAATATATAAAAAATTATCATCTTTAATAATTATTTCAAAAATATTACTAGTTTATATAACATAAATTTAATAATAAAGTAAATTTACCTTTACCATGTTTATTAAAAGAAGTTTTATATACATTATATTTAATTTATACAGTTAATATCTATTTTTTTACTATTTGATCATATGAATAAAATTTGTTACTATAAAAATAATTTTTTAATTTTTCAAAAATGTAATCCAGTAGGTTACAAAAACTGAAACATTGAATTTACCAGACTATAATATTATAAATATATACTTACTCTTTTCAAAATTGCATATATATCAAATTAAAATTTGTTAGTAATCATTACTAAATTTACTCACTTTTCCATTTAATTGGAATGTATATTTAAAGTTACAAGAAAACTAAAAGATATATACTTATTAAAATTGCCAATATGCTAAAACTTTACTAAAACTATATTAACATCTTATTAAATTTATATAAAACTAAGATAAAATGTTAAAATATTAAAACTATAATAGTAAATAGCTAAACTGAAAAAACTATAATAAAATTATATTAAACTCTTATTAAAATTTTGCTAAACTAAATGTAGAATTTTGAAGAGATTTAGGTAAGCAAAATTATGTATATCATATAAATTAATTAATAATTATTTCAAATTAAAAAATTTGTGATTTGTAATATAAAAATTAATTTATATTATACATAAATATATGAGATATATATTCATATATTTTTGCAATTACAATAAACTTGAAGTTTTATTAAAATTAAAAAAAAATAAATTATAAATGAAACTCTTATATAACATTTTCGAATCATTTTAAATTTAACAATCATAAAGTAGTTTTTTTTCAAGAATTTTAATTTTGTAAATCAAAAATAAACCAAGTAATTTCTTAAGTGATATTTCTTCATTTGTGTATTATATTTGTTATATTATATTATTATATATAGATATTATATTATAGCAAAAGAAAAATTTCTTTTAATTTTTATCTATTTATTCGTTTTTTTTTTTATAAAAAAATATAAAATATTATATAAATATATTTTAGTTTTGAACTTCTTTTTTTTAAAGATAAATAAAAAAAATTAAAATAATGATTTTTTTAAATTTTTTATTTTTTATTTTATTAAATTTATTATTTCAAGACAAATTCTAATACTTTAATTTAAATGAAACAGTTTTATTCAAATAAGGCAATCTTGAATAAAGTTATTTAATAAGTATTTAAAAGATTATATATCAAATTTTATTAATTTTAAATTAATATTTATGAAAATATCAATTTTTTTTTAAATATACTAATTAATTTTATATTTTTATTTTTTAATTTAAATATATAGGTATAATTTAATGAAATAAATCTGATATTATATTTATCTTTTCTTTTTTAATACAAATTATAGTAAGATAATATTATTATACTTTATTTTTTTTATTTTTTTTTAAATTTAAATATATAAATATTTTAAGATAAAACAGATTTTATATCTATATTTTCTATAATTTGCAATGAGATAAACTATAATTTTAGTTTCAATTTCTTATAATTTTTTATGTTTTTTAACAATTTAAAATAAATTATTATAACTTCTGAATTAATTAAAAGTAAAAAAATCAAATCTTATTACTTAATAAGAAAAATATTAAAAATATTTATCAAAAGTTCAATAATAAATTACATGATAAAATATAAAAAATTTTGCTTTCTTATAAAATATTAAAAAAGAAAAATATATTTTTTAAAAGAAAAATTATAAAGAAACATAAATACCAAAATAATACTATTTCAAGAAGATCAACATGTAAACGATTTCAAATATTTATAAATAATCTTAATAATTTGAAAATAAATTAAAAGGAAAATTTTTGATTACCTTTGCAAAAAAATATATGGCTTATATCAAGCAATACTAATAGAAAATAAGAAACATAAATCTGTTTCTAAAAAACTACAAAGTTATAATGAGTATAAATGATCTTTAGCTAAGGTAAATTCTGAAACTATTTTAGTATAGAAAATAACTGTGAAAATTAATCTCATTTATTTTAAAAGTATTTAATAATAAATGAATTTAAAAGAATTTATTATTCATTACTTATAATAGTAGCTATATCAAATGAATAAATTTGAATATTCTGAAATAAATCATAGAGATTATCAAATATTTAAATACATTAATTACAGTTAGTACCCTAATCTACTTAATTATTAAGAAAGAATTTTTTGCTTAATCATATATTATATAAAAACAATTTTTCAATAATTTATAATATTATTTAATAATTTATATAAAAAAACTAGTATCATTATAGGAGCTCAAATATTGAAAAAAAGTTATTAGTAATAATTTTAATATGTTATTTCATGATTTATGATTATAATAAATTATCTAAGATCTTAACTTTCTTATTTTTCTATAATTTCTTAATTTCTTATTTTTCTTATATTTTTTTTTAATATATTTATTTTTTTAATTATGTTTATTTATACAGATTATAATCTAGTTAATTAACATATTTTTTTTATATATAAAGACAAACATTTTATATATGTATTTCAAGTAATTATTTGTTATTTTTATAAATAAAAGATTTTTGTAAATCATACTGCAATAAAATATGGTAGATAATAAGTTTGGTGGAGAACGAGTCTTTTATTATTTACAATTTCTAGTTCTGGAAATAATGGTTCATTTTTATTTTAATTCCACCTTAAGATAAAATATTTGGTAATACTTGCCATCACATCAAGAGGAATTCAGCTATTAAATTCTAGTTAACATTTCTAGGAAAAAAACTTGAAAGCATTCATAAGATATTATAAGTAAATTTCAAAATAAACTTTTTTTAAATAAACACTATTTTTAACTATTGTAAACTTATTGATAGGTAAAGTCCATGAGTTTAATTATTAAATAGACAATTTAAGGTCAATAGAGAATCTAACAATTCAATTTCTTTGAGAATCTGTAATAAGTAAATTGATTTTTCAGTATCTTTTCCTTTATACTCTTCATCATCACATCATTGCTTTATCATTAAATTGAACTAATCTTGTGGTTCTTATTGATCTAAAGTATTTTATAATTATCATTAGGTATAACTTTCAAAATATTAAACTATTTCCACAATAGCAGCATAAGAAAAATATTCTGTAACAACCTTATTAATTAGAAAGGCTACTTCATGAATAGGTCTCTTATTTTCTCCTTTAAAATAAATCATCATAGTAGTAGTAGATAAATCCATAGACTTCTCAATAATTGACGAGTGTCAATACTTCTTGTGGCTTCAGTATCAATAATCTGAAGTGTTTCAATTCTGATGATGAAGTAACATAATATAAAGCCATAGTGTTTAAGCTATCTGCAACAACGTTAAATCATTCCTGATTCAAAGCTTAGCACTTAAGTAAGTTCCAAATTACTCATTGTAAATATTTAGCAAATGAAATATTGCTTTTAATTCATTAGCGACCACTTCATCGGAATGAAATTGAAGGATGCACTCTGAGAATGTATCTTTCATCATTGATGTTACTGGAATTCTATCTGAGTTCTACAATAGCATTCCAGTTATAGGAACGGATTGTTCAATCATTTCTGGAATTGAGATTACTATATTAATAACGAATTATTTGTGTATATAAATTGCGAGTGAATATTCATCAGTCGAAACTAAACTAAATAGTATATTTGTTGATAATTCACTTTGCTTTGCTAGATAATCTTGAAATAATATGTAAAAGGATTGATCAAGATTTAGCATCTTTACCTTCAAGAGAGGATGCGCCACCAAAGAATTGTTTATGGATCAACTTGGTTTAATATTTGCTGAAGAATTTCAGGACTAATGGAAGTATTTAGCGAAGATATATTTCACTCAAATCTTTAATCTCATTTAAAGATAACGTCAACTAATGTATCTTGTTTGATCACGAGTAGAGTGTTAGCATTTTTTAGTCATATTGTTTTGTTTATAGATTCAATAGCACAAGAAGTATTGGTGATCCAACTCAGTAGATTATCAAATTTATGGATAAAACTATTAGTAGAATAAATTATTTCAGACATTTTATCAGATTTCCAAATACAATAACTTGCCATCATATAGTTGTGTCTAGACGAAGCAGGCATCATTCCATCCATTTGCAAAACAACAAGATTTAAATTCATTGAGCCCGGTAAACGGATTTTATATTCGTCATGAAAAAATGAGAACATGTGCAGCTTTGGCTTCTCGGAAGATAAGTTATTGTAGCTGTAAATTGGTAAGTAAATTATCAACTGCATTCATTTTAGGTATTGCGAAAGCTCCAGTTAAAGCTTGGGTTTCGCCTGTTAAAGCCTGGAGGATTGAAAAAATAATTTTATTCCTTTTATTTTCTTAGTAGTCACACACAAAAGTGGTGAATACCTAAAGCAAAAAAAGAAAATATTAAAATAAATAAACCCGCAATATAATAAAAAAATCATTCGGCGAGAAAATATTACTCACGATTAGTCGATTCTAAAACATTTTTTGATCAATATTATCGTATACATAATTGTACTTAAATAGTAAGTAAAGTAATATTAATTGTAATGTACTCTCTTTAAAAGCGAGTGCTCAACTATTTTATACAAAATATTGTCATCTAATAAATACAAAACTCGACTAAATAATACATTTAATAAAAACAAACGATAAAATGTGCAAACCTCCTGCACGGATTAAAAAAAAAAAATATTAATATTAAATAAAAATTAATTAATTAACGACCGTAAAGATGATGTCATTCGCTGTTATGAGTGTAAAAGTAGGTGGGCTCGAAACACGTCACTAAATTAAAAATGAGTAATATAGAAAATCTCGGATGATTTTAAAAAAATAAATATTAGGAAATTGGTACAGCAAGTACTCGAACTCAAGACATGTTTACTGAGATACTCTTATATTATAAGCAACATGCCTAGAGCTGTTACCACTATACTAATTCAACATTTTATTAATTTGCATATAAATTCAAATAATTTAAATTAAATTGCATGAAACATGTCATGTGATTTCATTTCTTAAAAATTAGTTACATTAGTCGTGACATGTGAGGCGTGAACAATAGACAAGACACTTTCTGTAAACCTTCAATTTTATTAATAAGGTCGGTTATATATTATATGTAAAATTTAACGCGAGTTCATAGGAGCGGTTTTTTTAATTTTTTTTTTAAAAATATATCTAAAAAAGCTTTGTGAGAATGGCAATTTCTTATTATTTTTTAACGATTTATGTTGGAATTTTATTTCGCTTTTTTTTAATAAGTTAATAATATTGCATCTTAAAAAGAAACATAGGTATGATTTGAATAACACGCAGTAAATAGTAAATGTAGAACTTTGAATCAAATTTGTCATATTATAAAACACATTCTGGGATAATAGAACCTTTTATTTATTTTCTCATTTCTATCTTGACATTTCTGATAAAGTAATTTCGGTGATTATTCCATCTACATCTTTATGACAATTTAATATTTCTATCAAAGACTTTATTAAATTTTTTTACATACTCCTTTTTGAAAATGACTTCTTCTAACACAAACTCGACCGCCAACTTGTTGAGGACTTGATAGATCAAGTTTCTGAACCTGAATGGATTTGGTGAGTATCGCTCGCAGAGTTAGAATTGCAAAATTGGATTTGATTTGATTTAAAAGTATGTAATTATTTAATTTATAAATTACTATTCAAAAATATATTCTAATCCATTATTGGAACAATCTCCAAAGCAGCATAATACAACCAAATGACGCGGACACAAAATGGGCATAATTACCGAACTATAATAAATCAAGTATGATTAATAAATAATACCTCCTGGTTCTTCATATGAGTATTTTTTTAACATTTGAAACTGGTTCTAATGTTATATATTTAATTTTTTTTAAATACAAAAATTTTCTAATAAAATATATTCTCAGGTCTAATTATCAAACAAACTCGTTTTGGCACATTAATCTTCTTGATTTTTCAATTTTACCTTTGTCACTGTCAGACATTTTTATAAATTTATAAGAAAAAAAATTTTATTTTTCGAAATGAATCAATAAATTATATTGTACAACGAAAATTAGTGCCTTGTTAAGTTTCATTATTAATAATTTCATTTGACGTATTAGTGCAAAAATTGGCGACAGCAGTAAAAAAGTTCTAGCAGAGGAAGAAGAAATTCCAAAAGCAAAAGGATGATTATTTTTTAAAGAAAAGAGAAAGGCAAAAATTATTTGATATGACTAAAATGATTGGATACAAATTATAGATTCAGAAATTTCTACCTCCATTCTATTCTATGATTTCTCAAAAGAAATTTTAAATCTTGGTTGGGTAAAATGAATTTTACAATTACTTGTAGAATTGGAATAAATGAAATTTTTTATAATATAAAAATCAGATCTAATATAAAATGTTACTGTTTTACTCACTTTTCAATATGTATTTTAACAATCATTATATAAATATTTCAAAATTTATTTAATGGCAAACAACTTTGTAAAGTCATAGCTTTGAAAGCATCATGAGTGTGAGTGTTCAAGTCCCATTTCTCAAATCTAAATAAAATTCATTCATTTTAATAAGTGATTTTATAAGCTTTTTCAGGGAGTAAGGTTAGATCAATAGTGTGAATTTTAATATACTTGAAGCTTGCATGATGAATAAGTTATTCTTATATTCTACTGTATATATAAAGCTATTCATAAATTTATTCATAGAGTTTAAAGGCGTTCATCTATAAACTGATATCATTTCAATGTAATTTATAATTTGAATAAATTTCGGAAAAATTGTGGACACAATTTATTCTAAAGAATAGATTTCGATTTTAAAAAAAAATAAAATGAAGCGACACAACGGAAGCAAGACAAAAAATAATTGATGTATTGGGTAATACAGTTAGTTACTGAAGGTTAGGTAAACAATCACAATGGTAAATTTTTTTTTTTTATAAATCAAATTAAAATTGCAACGCAATAAATATAAATTAGAATACTGAGACTAATAATCGTTAAATTAAATGGTTAAATCGTGAGAAAGCATTTAATATAAAGGTTAACTTTCAGATATTTTGAAAAATCGCTAATGTTATTTATGGAAATATGTTTACTACCATTGATAATTGCAAGCTTTTTTGAGCTAAGAAAAGATTCAGAATGTATATAAAATAAAATATCAAAATCTATTGTAAAGTTAGAAATCCTCATATTTTGATTTTTACCTTGATTTCTAATATTTCATCAAAAATTCTGTCCGCCCACAAATATATCCCTTCATCTTTTATATAAAAACCTAAATATATTTGACAAATCTTAACATAAATCTTTTCAATGCAAGAGCCCATGATCTAAACTAAAACTTTTTATTGATTATAGAAAACGAGAATTAGTTTATTTTAAACAGTTTCATAATGTCCTTTAATAAGTCCTGATTAAACAAGGGTATTAATTAAGGAATGAAATGGCTAGGAATAAAAAATAGTTGTGATAGCAACGAAGATAATCGTTCAGATAGGGGAATTAATTCAAAAATATATAAACTATAGTATGTTTTGGGAATAAGCAAAGAGAAATAATATGACGCAGGGACTCGCATTAAATTACCTAGAATCCCGAAAAATGGCTTTTCATATATTCGCTCGCTACTATCCATTTCCATTTTCTAACTAAAATTGATAAAAACTTTAATTTTAACTTTTTAATTATTAAAATGCAGAGGTAATTTATATTTGTGAAAAAAAAATTAAACAAATTTAAGTTTAATCCTAAAAACGCAAAAAAGAAAAAAAGTGATTATAAAATGTAAAAAAGAACACACACCATGTAATACGAAGCTCGATTCTGTAATTCCCATAAATCCAAAATGAAATTATTGGTACACTATTGGGAACGCCTCCGGTAAAAATTACTTTGGCAGAAATTGAGAATTGATATCTGATAATTTGTCATGCAAGACCAATTTTTAATAAGCCAATAATTCAATCATTTAGAATACCGGTATTTCTAACGTTGTGATGGAGTGATGCCGTTTCAAATGAAATTGTGAGCTGTGGGACTAAATTTACACGAATATAAAGTAGTAATGGGGCATTGCGGAGGTGCCATCCTGTCGTCGATGCCACATTTTTATTGACAAATAGTCTTGAATCTTCGTTTGCGCAGAAAGTACACTTGCACCATACTAATTACACTATCGAGTTTCTCCGTTTTGCATTTCTACAACCATTTAGGGTTTGCTTCTATTTCTACTCAGGTGATAGTGGTTCAATTAGAAAATTATTTTGCCAACATTTATGTCCTCTCCATTAGCAACAATAAGTCTATTGTGCCAATTGTACAATGTTAAAATCAAAAATGATTGTATCGTCCCATGTATACTGGTTGTAAAGTCGTATGCAATAGCCTTTCCATTGCTTAAACGCATAAAGATTTTATATTTCTGCTCCTTTTCACGTAATATGCGGTACACATCACTGTAAACTATAAATTCTTTTGGCTTTACTACTGTCGTACTCGTTTCTCTCATTTCAGTTTTATTATTTCGTTTAAAGCAGTCGTTCTTTTCAAGTTCGAGAAATTTGCTTATTGCCAAGGAAATTTCTTTCGGGTTGAGCATCGATATTCGATCAAATATTCGTGTAATGTGTAAATAATATGTATTCAAGTATGAACTGTCGCGTTAATAAAATAAAAACCTTTTGTTATTTATAAATTTTTAGCAAATACAGTAATACATAAAAATAAAAAGACTTAATATTTTGTTGGCCTTCCAATTGCTTCCAATATTGCATTATTTCTTCGTGGCATTGTAGTTATAATATTTTCAAAAACAAAACGATCCATTCCGTCTTTAGTACAATGTTATATTCATTCATAGCCACACGCTTTTGAATATTATATTTCCAAATGTTCTTCTCCATAGATTCAGGTTTGTCCAATAAATAGAATCGTAGTTATTTTTACAGTTTGAAACCATGCGAGCAGACTTATTAAAACTGATACATAAAAATACAATTAAACAAAATTTGGATACATATGCACAATCTCATCATATTACGCAACAATTGGATCGTGTAACTATTACATTAGATATTTCACAACTTCAATTTTTAGAACCAATTCATTCATTTCATTAAAACGTTACAATGTGACATTTTTTAAAGTTTTGCTTAATTTTATTATGTGGTCATTAGCTATTTACAAGAATAGTAAATCATACCCGAACATAGGTTTATTAACAAATCTCTCATATATATATATTTATGCAGTTTTATTATTACCGTCCTCACATATTATTTGAACAGAAGTAAAAAATTTTTTTTTTGTTTTAATTTTCTTCATGGAAAAAAACTTTTCTAGATATGAAAGGAAATATGAAAAAATGCAAATATAGTGTGTATATATATTAACTTCAAACTAAAATACCACTCTAGTTTAAAGTAAAATAAAGGTATTTTTTTTAAAAAAGTAGAATTAACTATCATTACAATGACATAAAGTATAAAAAAGTATTAAAAATCGTTATCTGTCAAATAATTTATTTTATTCAAATGTATTATTCAATTTAAAGTGTTTAAAAATTAAATAATATTAACTTCTTATGAGTATTGTCGTTGTGTGATAGTGCGTGAGATTTTATGGCTAGCATTTCTCGGGTACGGATCCCATAGCGTGCAAAATATTGGGTGTATGTTTGATGACGAGTTTCTATTTGAGGTTATCCTTGCAACGTGACCTCCGAGGCAAGGAGTCAGCAGGCATTCGGTATTAACTCAAATTTTTTATTTATTTTTTTGCTAGTAATAATACTAAACTACTTTAATAATTAATCCATTATGGTGAAATGGTACATTAGCGTATTAAATAACAAAAAAGAGGGGATTTTTTCTGATGTTAGTGAAAACTACCTAATACCATCTTGAGCTAACCACAGATAATTTTAAAACTTGTTAAGTGATTTACTTACAATGTCATGCGATAACGACACTTCTTTTAGGCATTTCAAAGAAAAATGGTCGTTTATTTAAAATGAATTTATTCTGCCAAGATGGTTTATTTCAGATGCATTTGTTGCTGAGTTCAGAATTTGCCACAGTCGCTATTTGCCAAATTGTTTTTGATCGTACGTAACGTAATGGTTTTTCTGAAAGAATTTAAATTTAAGTGGGACAAAGTAATAAATATATGAAATAATAAAGAATGATTGGTGTTACTGTGAAACATATCAATGTAAAATCCTTCGATTTTTATTTTTATTTTTTTATTTTTTATTTTTATTTTATTATATTTTCTGTTTTTATAAACAAATATATCAGTAAGGTATCGTAACAAATATCTAACTAACTTATTGTTAGTTTAGGTGATATTCATGAAACTATTTATAAAAATTTAGAGAATTTTCATTGTCGTATAATTTTTTTTGGTTCTTGATTGACCTTATTAGATAAAAAGAACTGAATTTAAACGACCATATGAATTTAAAAACATTATTATAATCCGAATTTTCGCAGATGATAATATTATTACAAGTAACAAATAAGTAATCAGACCTAGAGACTAAGGATTAATATGGTGGGCCACAAATACGATGAAGAAAATAATCCTTCCATTTTGAATTACGAACAAATAATCATTTTCTCACGATTCGTGTAATTTATTGGTTATCATAAATGTAGGAAGAATTTAAATCGAGATTTGTAGATAGATATGCACAAGAAATTAGATGTAAATTGATAGAACAATTAAAGAATATAAATGGAGAGCGATGATATAATTATATTAACAAATTGATATTGTGTATTCATCGTATTGCAGAAAAATTTAAAGTGGACAAAATTTCCGTTGGTGGTTTCAAAATTTCTTGGTATTCAGGAGGTTTTTAACAGATATACGATAAATTAGAAAGTCTTACATTATTGAAAATGAAAATTTAAAGATTTAATTTCCTCCATTTACGTTTCCAAGAGTTAAATTATAAACGATTTATGATAATGTCAATAAAGATGAGAATATACTTATAATCTTGCGAAACATAGATTATATAATGATGAGAAATATGCTTTCATGATGCAATTGTAGCAACTTAAAATGTGAATAAATGTAGCTGAGATTGTCGAAGTATATCAGAATCTATGATCAAATATTTAATCAATACACTAACTCATTCCGAATTGATTACTGTTATAATAATTTTATTGAGTCTTATCAAAAAAACCATCATCTAAAATCGAATTTAAAAAATAAATCTTTAAAAATTTTTTATTGCTCGCTATTGGTATTTAGGTTTCAAATCAAGTATGAATAATCAAACTTGAGAAAAAGATTTCTTTATTAATTGTATTATTACAAAAAATACTACAAGTCGTAACAGAAAAATGATTTAAAAATAAATAATCTATCTATACAATTTCTTACATTACCTTTACATCTATAATCATTTCCATATCGGTCTAAATAATTCAATGTCTTCAACTATATAAGCTGATTCTTGTTTTAGCACTCTTTCTTTATAACTAATTTGCTTACAATTTATACTTAAATTTTCAAAATTAATAGACAAATCACCATTCGCAAATACAATTTTGGTGTTAAAATCATATAAGCCATTGTATAAATTCTTGAAAACCCCATCAATCTTTTTACATGATTTAATATTCTGATCGAAATTAAATAAAAAGCTTCCACTTTCATCATTATAATTAGTAGAAAAGTAATAAAAATAATTGCTATAACCACCAATGATCTTGTCAGAGTTTTTTAATTTAACTACAAGGATTGTAGAACATTTTAATTTTTGATACTTTTCTCTAAATGATTTCAGGCTTAACCCATCTTGACTTCCTCTATAAATTAAAGAGAACGCGTACGGGTTGTTTTTCGGTATTAAAAGATCTATATCATCATCAGGTTTTCCTCCATCAATCCAATTGGATATGATTGCGGCTTGCTTTGAATTTATTATCACAGAATCAATAAATCCTCTCCTTGCTCCACTAGGCATCCCAATTTTTGATTCTGCTCCAATTAAATGATAAGCCATTATGTCCTCGTAAATTTCATGAGGAATAATAATCTTATAAGGTCTAATCTTCTCATAAAAATCATCTGAACTAATCTCTCTGAATCTAATCAATGGTATCAAACCATCCAAAGTATTCCTTAATTCCTCGATATCTTCACCGGTCCATTTTGTTATATCTCTATTAGACAATAACACTTTCGTATGTTCTATTCCCCATCTAATTAGAAATTCCCAAACATCATCTTCCTCAATATATAAATTATCTACATTTAATATCAAGGAAAGAATTCTTTTATTTAATTTTAACGAATCTCTAGTGCTGAGATATGTTTTAGCCTCAACACATATATATGATGTACAAAAATTTTGAAGGTTACGACAATATTCTAATTTAAATATGCTATTTACCACTGTGGAGAAATTATTTAATAGCCACTCCTTATGTTTTTCTACGAGGTATTCTTGAATGTAAGAAACAACTTCGGGGAGATGTAACTTTGAAGATGCGATCAATAATCCAAACGTGTCCTCTCCCGAAGTTGACTCCAGATCAATGATTCCCGTATACATATACCTAAAAGTGACGAAGAGTTAGAATGTTAAAAAACGATTCAAAGAAAGGGTATTAAGAAAAATCATTAAAATATATCCTTCAACTACCTTAATATCATGGAAAATACGGTTGATGAAATATTTGTAATGCGTAAGACAATCATACTTAGGTCTCGTTTCATAATTCCTTCTTTGGTTTCTAATAGGATTTGTTTAAAATATTCGGATCTAGCATATAATATAATTGAATGGGCTTTAAATATTTTTATATTACAGTCCTTCTCACCCGCCACTTCTATCGTGATGTCTGAATTATAATTTGGTTTTTCTAATAAATATGAAAAATCATTAGATAAATTTGGTAAAAATTTTATAGCCATAATTTTTTTTATGTATATTTTTTTTTAATTTTTTTAATTTTTTTTTTTCGTTTTTATTTATTTTTTTTTATTTTGTATTTCGAAAATAAATTATGAAACAAAAAATTAATCCTTTATATAAATAATTGTCTCGTGCTTTTAATTTGCAGCCCTGTGTAACGCGTTACGACGTTGTGCTAAATTGCCAAGGTTGGTCAATCTTGGGGTTTGAATGTTTATGGTTAGTAAATTTTATAAAGTTATTGCACTTTTCTAAATTCACCTGTATGCATTGTTTAAAAAAAAAAAAAATTTAAAAAAAATCCCATTGTAGAATAGTCTAAATTCGGAAATAGGGGTTCATACAATGATGTTCCCAAGTTTTTCCTATTTTTAATTAATCCTGTGCGACACTTGTAATATAATATATATCTATTATTTAAAATTATTTATTTTTTTTTTTTTTCGAAAATTTTTTTTTTAAAAGAAATGAACATTATAACGAATTTTTATCAAACGCTTTCGAATGACTTAGAAAAGTTGATCAGTAATGTTTATGAAAGTAAGGTCGTTAATATCAAAGTTGGGAATTATCCTAGTGAGAATACTTTTCAAGCGCACTCGAATATCTTGATCGTTCGCTCCCCATTTTTTAGGGATACGCTTTTGAGGCAAAACGTAGTTGGTAAAAATAATTTAATTGATGTCAAAATTCGGGAAATTGATTTTCAAACCTTTCCAATTATTCTCCAGTAAGTCATTAAAGTTTATATTCTGAGAAATTTAATCCATTTCTTATTTTTTTTTTTTTATTTTTATTTTTTATTAAAAGATACATTTATACTGGGGTTGTGGATCTTTCAAATGTGGTCGAAAAAGGTTTATTGGATTTGTTGATTGGAGCGACTTTATTGCAACTTGAAGAATTATCGTATCATTTACAGGATTATTTAATTACTAAACATTCGACTTGGGTTAAACAAAATTATGATCAAATCCTAACAAAAACATTTAAAAAGAGAGATGGATACGTAAAACTATGGGATTATTGTATGCAAGGGATTTGCGAAGATCCAAAGTCATTATTTTCTTCTGAAGAATTTATCAAATTGGACAAGGATATTTTATTCGCGATCTTGGATCAAGAAACGTTACAATGCGAAGAATTAATCATTTGGGAAGCATTAATAAAATGGGGCATAGAACAGTCCCCTACTATTTCCCAAAAACCTGCCGCAACTAGTTTTGATACGAACGATTGGACAGACGAGGAATTTATAATTTTAAAAGGAATCATTGAAAAATTTATCCCGTGCATTCATTTCTTTGAAATAAGTTCAAGTGATTTTTATAATAAGATTAGACCGTTCAGACCAACGTTGGCACCTGATTTATTTGATGAAGTACTGGGTTATCACATGAAAGAAAAAAAGCCTAAATTATGGCCAAGATTAGGTAAAGTCGATTCCGTTATCATCAAATCCAAGCAAGCAACGGCTATAAGTAATTTAATCAAAAATTATGAACTCTCATCACAAAATAGTATCAAAAAATGTTCGTTGTCCCTTTTATATAGAGCCGATAGAGATGGATTTCATTCTGGTATATTTCGCAATCAATGTAATGATCAAGGTCCTAGTTTAGCTTTGATTAAATTGCGTAATGGGAAAATCGTTGGTGGTTATAATCCTTTGGGTTGGATGAAGGTTGATCCTGATGATAGAAAAGATTATTCTAAATCCTTTTTATTTTCTTTCGAACCTAGTTTAGAGGTTAGATCATTGAAAAGTGTTGGGGTTAAGAATCCTACTTTAGCTTTTGATAATCAATCTCAACAAGCTCTTCATTTTGGTACTACCGATTTGATCATTAATGGTCAAAATGGTAGTTGCGTCGTCAGAGATTTTCAAAGTCCTATCATTAGTTCTCGATCTTTTGCGGTTGAAAATGTTGAAGTTTTTGCTGTAAAGAGAAAATGACAATATTTAATAAAAATTAAAATCAAAAGAATAATAAATTATAATATATTGTTTGTAGGTTAATGACTGGAATTGGTAATTGTATTGACTGAGAATTTTATTGTCTTTTAAGTGATATTAATTATAAAAGTTTCCTGAACAAACATAAATCGATGATTTATAAAGCCATAGATTTATCATATCGCATGATCTTTAGTGATGGCTATAAGAATTAACGCAATTAAAATTATAATAAGAATAATAATATTTTACTTGGTGATCCGGGGAAGTTACAATTTCACAATATAAATCCAATCAGAACGAACTTCGAAAAATGTTGATTGAATACGGAAATTGTCCAGATGCGTCAGTCATCTGCCACATCGGCAATAAAGTAGAACTTGAATGAAAGATTCTCCCTACCTCGAATATAAATAAATCAATGATGTATCTATGTTCAAAATATCTAACTGCGATTACATTTTACAAACAATCGGACTAAATATATTTCGTGAAACTGTTTGTCCTCTACATTTTAGAATGTATTTTTTATGATATTCATGGACTATGAATTACAAGAATCTTTTTTTTTGTACCTTTCTCCTCAAGATAATCAAGTGTTCGAAAGCCAGAAGTTGATTATGACTATGAAAGATGGAGTACGAAACTCAATGAAAAATAGATCATTTTGATAGTATAAAAGAGAGCTTGAATTCACAAACATTGGTTAACAAAATTTGATGCATGTAAAAAAAGGTATCGAAAGTAATTTCTACTTGTGTAGAATGCTCTAATAGAAGCCATATATCCTTTTGTCCACTCCAAAATTATTAAGTTTGTATGGCAACTATTTAATATATATCGCGGGCATATCAGCATTTTCTTTTGTTGACTGCATCACGTTTGATAGATTTTGATTGCTGAATTAACAGACTTTAAAATGCACCGTCGAAACTATTAACTAATAAGTTTTGCTCCGCAACTATTATCATTAGAAATTCTTACGCTAACTGGGAGTGATTTTGTATCATTATCATTTTTCGGATCTATTTCCATTGGTACAATAAATTTCTCCTTCATTTGAAGGTGGCAAATCACTTGCTAATACTTCTTCGAAAAGAAATAAAATAATTTGTGAAAAGTAATTGTCTTTGTCTTTTCTGAGTTTTTTTTTTTTTTTTTGTAGACTTTTTTGCAAGGATTATATTTATAACGAATTTAATCCCTTGCAAGCTATTTATAGTCACTCTAAGCTCCTTACCTGCGGTAATGTCTTTCTTTACCACAATCGTGAACATCAAGAAGTAAGCTTGCTAAATATTATAAATTTATTGTCGCTTGAAATCCAACTAATATTATTTATCACTCATCGATTAGAACGGGATGATAAAGTTACTCTTTGTTGTAAGAATAAATCTTTGAAAATTCATAAAATCTAGACATACTTGATATTGGATGTGATTGAGATGAAGCGACTTGATCAATCTAATTATGCCTCAAAAAAAGAAATCTAAAACAGTTTCTAGAACCTTAACCAAACTACTCACATCTATCCTTTTTCCAACTTAACAAATAATGTATCATTGCAACAACAACAATATTCTGCTACACAACATTTTACGGATCCTTTAAATGAAGTGTCAAGATATACAGACCCTTTATATGAAACAGCAAGATATACTGATCCTTTGATAATATCTCAAAGGGTATTTTTTTTATAGATAACTTAACTTAACGACCTGCACCCATTCCATTATTCGCCATGAAGCCTATGATTAAGAAAATAAATCACCTTTCAAATCCTATTATACAATCAACTCCTACTTTTATTAATACAAATACACTACTAAAATGGAATGGAAGTGAAAGAGTAAGCGTGAGCAATCTCTTTATATACTCCATCAATAATAAATTCCCATCAGCGCAACTCTATTAAAAAAGATGTTTGTAGCTCCAGTTTTTTTTTGACTTAAATAATCACCATTGAGGGAGGTGCTTGAGAACGGCCTAAATAAGGAAGGCTAGCATTAAATATAAAGAAAGAATTCTATATGGATTGATTTGATTAAATTCAGAAGTAAATAAGTAAGGTAATGTCCAGTGGCGGTTGTCTAATTCATTTAAAAATATTTTAAAGTAAAATATGGCATGCTTTGAACTAGTTAAACCACGATTTTCTGAACCTGAGGATACTAAAAAGAAATTGCTCGCACCCAATGAAAAATTATTATATCGATCAAATATATCTTGATTTTACGCATAGCGATACTCAACCTGCTTTTTATAACTTTGGTATTAAAGCTTCGATATCTTTTTCAAAAATGTAATTGGATTTAACTTTTACGGAACCGAAGAAATATATGATCAGTTTTTTAAGTTTACTTTTCTTTTAACATATTTAACATATACTAAAATTACTTCATTTTAAGATGTTCTTTATGCAAAATTTTGATGATCAAGTTCAAGATCATTTTTTATTTAATGAAATTGTTGCTTTTTTAGAATAGTTATAAATTTAACTTATTTTATACACCAACCTGCCAAAAGTGTCCGGGCATGATCTTTAAACTACATTATATCAACAACCAGTGATTGGATTTTTGTGATCAATAATTCATTGAAATCGTCTTGTCAAAACGCATCTAATCGCAATATTTTCATGTAATTTGCATTAATGAATAGGACGGTATTTGCAAAAGACTCTAATCAATAAAATGCCAATATTTATTCGCCTATTGATGCAAAGGACATGAAAAATTCATGGCTTAGCTGCGTCTTGATGTGGCGATTCCAATGAATCATATATCGTGAAAATCAAATCACTGGTTCTCATGATAATGCCATTTAACTTTTTGCCAAAAATTACAATTTTGAACAATTTTATCAATTGTTGCATGTACAAATATCACAACGATTCAATAACCAGTAATTGAATTTTCAAGAACTTTGATTCCTTGGAATTGTCTCATTGAGTCGCAGCTAATTCAAGAATTTTATGTAGGTGAAAAGATATTGGCATTTAACTGTTTGGAGACTTTTGTGAATGCCGTTCTATCTATTAAGGCAAATTACGTAAATTTCATGGATTGATGTGTCTCAATCAGACGATTCCAATAAATCATAGATCATTAAAATCTAATTACAGGTTGCTAAGATAATGTGATTTAACTTTTTGCCAAAAATTACAATTTTGAACAATTTTATCAATTTTTGCATGTACAAATATCACAATGATTCAATAACCAGTGATTAAATATTTAAGATCTTTGATTCCTTGAAATTGTCTCATTGAGTCGCAACTAATTCAAGAATTTCATTTAGGCGAAAAGATATTTGCATTTAACTGTTTGAAGACTTTTATGAATCCTGTGCTATCTATTAAGGCAAATGACATAAATTCCATAAAATAGATGCGTCTCAGTAAGACGATTCTAATAAATTTTAGATCATTAAAATCTAATCACTGGTTACTGTTTAAATTCTTACTGGAAATTACAATTTTGAACAATTTCATCAATTTTTACATGTACAAATATCACGAAGTTTCAATAACCAGTAATTGGATTTTCATGATCTATGATTCATTGGAATTATCTCATTGATTCACATATTATTTATGAATTACAGGTCTTTTCATTAATGGATAAGAAGTTATTGGCATTTTACTGTTTAGAGAAATTTGCAAATAAAATTTAATCTATCGATGCAAACGATATGATAATAGTGCGATTAGATGCATCTTGACATAGCGATTCAAATGAATCATAGATCATTAAAATTCAATCACTGGTTGTTGTTGAGATAATTTAGTTTAAAGATTATGTTTTGGAGCTGCCCGGACACTTTTGGCTGGTTGGTGTAGTTGGCTAATGAACAATTTAATTGTAATATGAAAGCCGTGCTATTAAAAATGGGTCACAGAACCTTTCAATAAAAAATAAACAGCTTTTTTTTTGTTTTTTATTAAAAGATTTAGTATTCAATATGTATGCACGTTCACTAATTTTTATCAAAATTGATTATGCAAGATTCAACAGTGATTCGAAAGAATTCATCATTTTGATGTGACTATTCTTTGATTAAAAAGCGAAAGCAGCTTTTATAGGAATAATTTATATAGATTTTAATTTTGATTTATTTAGACATTAATATTTTTTTTAAAAAATAAATATACAAAAAAACATTTAAATATGAAAATATAATCAAACTATGTATATGTCTAGTGAAAATTATAAAAAATATGGTATAAGATGATTGAGATATTCTTATAGGAAAGTGTTCACATTTTACGTGAAGATGAAATGTTTGGGCAATGAATCGTGATGTTACTACAATATAAAATAGAGAATTGTTGATAAAGTAGTTGTTACTTGATATAAATGTAATTTATATTCGCAAAACCTTAGTACTTCTTGGAATTCACCTTGTGGATACTGAATATGGTTAGAGCATAAATTTTCATTGGATCAACTTATTTATAATTTTGTAGATTGAACAGTTAATTTAGAACAGCCAATTAAGGGAGGGAAAAAAGGATTAAGAATTGATAAAATGAAATAAGATGATCACGTCAAAACCAAAAATTGATTCGTAAGGGAAGGTTCATACCCGACATCAGAAAAAGCAGACCCTTACCAAATAAACCACACCTATGAGTGGCGCTATCAACCATTTCCTAAAGCATCATCTTCTATAAACACACATTTTTGGCTGCAATTATGTCTTGTAACTCTTGTCAAACTTAACTAGAAGTTGGAACCAGTCCAAAAATCCTTTAAAAAATTTTTTAACCAGTTCCAACCTCTAAACTCCACTATGTATAATATGTACTGAAGAAAAAAAAAGCTTTAAAAAATCAAACTAGGGAAAAGAAATAAAATATACCATCTTTGCAATTTATAAGATATATAATAAATAAAGAATTATAAAATGTTAGAAATGCTCGCTCGTCAAGTCACTCAAATTTTTATTTTTATTTTTTTTTAGTCTTGTTAATATGAGTTGTCGGGAGGAGTAATATATGAACAAAATCATATGATAATATCACTGGTTAGTCATTACTAAATTATTTCGAAACATTCACGTATTAAATAACAAATA